GTCTGTAAATGATCTCGTTAGTGCTTTGCCTTTCACGTGATGCTTTGAAAACATCAAGAAGCTGAATCCGTGAATTTTCCCAAGGTGGGAATTTCAAAATTCTGTACTGCTTGGGGGTGCATATCAGAGAGGGAAAGTTCCTCAATGACAGGGCGAACTCTTAAAGGAAAGTAGGAACACAGGATGGACGTGTTTCAAATAATGTGTTACACACATTATCAAGTAAGCACAGCTTATTGGGATGTTCAGGTTGGGATAGAATATTAAAATATTGCAAAAGGGACAATTGCTCACGCCTCAGATAAAGTGATGGTTCGTTACAGTCAACATATAGGCTCTGGACAGGAGAAGTCCCTGAACAAATCCGCAGAGCCTTGATGGTGAACAGGATCCAGTTTTAACAAAACTGATGACCGAGCGGATCCATAAACAACTGAGCCATAGTCCAGTTTAGAGCGGATAGCGCTCTGTAAATGCGAAGCATGGAGCAACGCTCTGCACCCCAGGAGGTGTTCGCCAACACTTTTAAAATATTTAGTGTTTTTAGACACTTCTTTCTCAGGTTTAAAACATGAGAAAGGAAAGTCAATTTTCGGTCGAACGTCACTCCTAAAAATTTTACTTCAGGCGCAACTGGAATAATTGTACCATTCAAGTATAACTCAGGTTCAGGATGGAGACCTCGCTTCCTACAAAAGTGCACGCACACAGTTTTCTGTTTCGAAAAAGTAAATCCCTGTTTGTCTGACCATTCTTGGATCTTATTCAGAGCCATCTGCAGTTGCCTCTCTACATATCTCATGTCTGCTCCTCGACAGCTAATCTGCAGATCATCAACATATAGAGATCCCAAGATGGTGGGAGGAAGTTCTTTTAGTACAGAATTTATTTTTAAACTAAACAGGGTTACACTGAGCACACAGCCTTGAGGCACACCCTCTTCCTGTTCAAAAACATCCGAAAAAACAGAGCCAATTCCTTACTTGAAAAGTTCTAGTGTTCAAGAAATTCTGAATGAAAATTGGTAGGTTGCCGCGCAAGCCACTCTCGTGAAGATCCCGGAGTATACCGTATCTCCATGCCTTATCATAAGCTTTCTCAATGTCGAAGAATATCGAGACAAGGTGGCTTCTTCTTACAAATGCTTTTCGAATAGATGTCTCTAAGAGGAGCATGTTATCTACAGTTGTTCTCCCCTTTCGAAAACCACTCTGATAAGGCGATATAATATTATTCTTTTCCAAGAAGTAGACTAGGCGGCTGTTTACCATCTTTTCAAACAGTTTGCAAGGCAACTCGGTAAGGGCAATTGGCCGATAGTTCGAGGAATTCCTTGGATCTTTCCCTGGCTTCGCAATAGGAATGACAACAGCTCTCCTCCATGCACTGGGAAATGTACGCTCCTTCCACACTCTATTGTAAAGTGTGAGAAGGGCACTCAGTGACTTATAGGACAGATGCTTTAGCATTTCATAATACACGCCATCAGGACCCGGAGAAGACCTATGTGTCTGCAACAAAGCTCTCCTTAATTCAAACATAGTAAAGTCTCTATTATAAGGCTCAGATTTGGAAGAGTTGAATGCGATGGGATTTATTTCAGAGTGCTGCTTGATAGAGAGAAATGCAGGTGAATAGTTTCTGCTGGAAGAAACAGCAGCAAATGTCTCACCAATAGTATTTGCAATTTCTTCTATGGAGCTAATCACTCGGCCATCTTTTTCCAAAAAGGAAAGTGAGTGGTCTTTATATATTCCGCATGCTTTTCGAACTCTTTCCCAAACCCGCTTACTAGGCGTAGAGGATGTTATTGACGGACACATATGAAATCCAGGAATCCCTCTGGCTCTGCCTTCTTACTTTTCCGTGCATTTGCTTTGGCTCTTTTAAAAGGCTATGAGGTTTCGCAGAGTAGGATATCTACGAAAAATACCCCATGCTTTTTTTCTGTTGTTTCAGTGTTTCATGACAGTCGCAATTCCACCATGGTTTCGTATATTTGAGCATTTTTCCTGATGTTCTAGGAATGGACAGAATAGCTGCCTGAATAATAGTATTAGTAACAGCTTCAACAGCATCATCAATATGCACATCTTCTACCATTTCATCTGTCAGCTCTGCAACGGAAGAGAAGAGTTCCCAGTCTGCCCTGTCAAGAATAAATTGAGGGACTCTCGACAAGGGGTTTGCTCCTCTTCGTGCAAGAGACACAAAAATGGGATAATGATCGCTGTTGTACAGGTCATTTCCGACACTAAAAGTACAAAATGGCAACAGAGATGGTGAACAGATGGCACGGTAGAGAGCGTGGAATCTCCTTGAAGGCTCATGGAAGTACGTATCCTTGCCCATTATTTAGGAGACAAAGGCTATGATCTTCGATCATCTGCTCAATTTGTCTTCCTCGGCAATTTGTATCTTTACTACCCCAGAGTGGACTATGGCCGTTAAAATCTCCTATTATGATAAAAGGCTCAGGCAGCTGCTCTATTAAGATTATTTAAATCTTGCTGATCAATGTGCTCATTTGGAGGCAAATACAAAGAAACAAATGAAACAACAATATCAAAATTTATTTTGAGTAGCGACAACTTGGAGGGATGTGTCGTCAAAGAAAGTACACATTTGAGGGATAATCCAGTGAGGTGAGGAGACCTACACCTCCACTGGCACGCTCACCTGCAAGCTTATCCTTCCTGACGAAAGAAAACCTCCGAAGTTTTGCATGTTGTTCTGGTTTCAGATTTGTTTCCTGTATTGCTAAGCACACAGGATGATAAGCATTTATTATAGATTTGATGTCAAGCAAATTTCGGTGGAAACCGCGACAGTTCCATGAGACGAGTGTGGCCATTATGAATGGTTTTTGTTTTTCTGTGCTGTTCTTTTGTTTTTCGTGGAAGTAGATGCCTGGGAACTTCTAGACCCTCTTCTATTTCCATATTGTCTGAATCCGCAGATTCAGAAATCATTCATCAAAGAGCTATTGCTGGACTTCTATTTTTATTTGATATTTTTTGTGTGGCAGTTTTGGGCTTACTTTGAATAACTGTTTCTTTTTTTTTGTACTATATGGGTTGCATTTTCTTTTTTTCTTGTTGGATGTAGACGGTTGGGTTTTATTTGGTAGAGTCTGTGTGCCTATTGATGTTTGGGTGGCAACTGTACGAGATTGATTTTAACAGCATTGGCATATGATGTATTTGGTCGAAGCTGTGTGCTGCTTGGACTAATCTTCTGGCTTCGGCATATACGAGATGTTCCTAGTAACTTTTGCAGTCTGCACTTCTTTTTCCGATTTCCATTTTGGGCAGAGCGTGAAAATGCTGGGTGCTCACCCTTGCAATTTATACACAAGAGCGCAGCGGTACAATTATTCAGAATCGTGGCCAATCTGTGAGCATCGGGCGCATGTGAGGCTGCCACGACAAGACGTCTTAGAATGGCCGAAACGCTGGCATTGGAAACATCGCATAGGGTTTGGAATATAAGGTCTTACAGGACATATTTAGATATCCGGCCTTAATATTCTTAGGCAGATCAGGCGTGTTGAAGGTAAGGATCACGTGTTTCGTGTCTATCAACTTACCTTCTTTACGCATCTTGATCCGCCTACACCGCAGACATTTTGGTCGGATAGCTCAGAAGCGATCTCTTCTTCAGAAACATACAGAAGGTCGAATTCCGAGATTACACCACGACAATAGTTCAGTGACTTATGTGCTGTTACAGTGACATTCGCTTGCCCAAGTTTAGTTATCTGAAGTAAAGAAGCAGACTGGGTGGCTGAGGTTGTATCAATAAGCAAGTCTCCGGAGCGGAGACGCTTTATATTTCTCGGCTCACCAATACAAGACTGGATGTATTTGTTTATTACGAAAGGAGACATCTTATGCATTTCGCCAGAAGGACTAGAGATGACTAGGAAACGGGGACTATTGTTATGATTTTTTTCATTTGCATCTGTACGTAATTTTTTTGCAGTAGAATTTTCAGAACTAGGTTTGAGTGACTGGTTTAGTGACTTTCGAAAGGTCTTTTAATTAAGTAAAGTGTGAGTTAGCCATAGTGAAGGAAAAAAGATTCGGGTCCGACGGCCCCGCCCACCACGGAGCCCAACAAGGGAACACAGATTCCTGTGTTAGGGCTAGCCGGACCTATACGCAAACTGAAGCCCCACAGTCGGCTTTCCCGAAAGCAGGTACTCCCGAGAGCTTGACCCCAAGCCACTGACACAAGGACTAGTGACCAGCCGATTGACACCCGTGAGGACGACTAAGGTGCCTCCCGTTTAGCTGAAGCAGAGGCCAAAGCAGTGTGTTGGGGACAGTACCTCGCCCCTCAACTACCAGGACCCTCCTTTCCAGCGACACGGGTCTCCACGCACGGCAAACACGTGGGCAGTTTTCTCGCCACTCGAGAACTAGAGAGAAGGGCTGTTCCAGTTTCTCGTGACAAGCCCCAAACTCCGTAGAGAGAAACCACAAGGGAGAAGGGAAGGGAAAACATTCCAGAGGATCATGACACCCGTCTCACCAAGAAGATGATCCCCTGAAGGGCTAGGGTACCTTGGGATTGCCACACCCGTACTCACAAAAGTGAGCCTCCTGAGGGGTTCATATAGAAGCATTTTGGATATTGAATTACCTTTAAGAATGAATTTTGTTTGTAGACCAAGATACCATCCTACAGCAACAAAACAACTAAAGTTTTACTGCTCAATAAAGCTTGTTTCAAATTATGATTTTTTGTACTTGTAGTTATGCTTTGCTTTCTTCTTTTGGATTAATTACGTTCATTAGAATGTTTCAGTGGCTGAATGATAAAAAAAAAACTGATATTTATAAGAATGGTGGAGAAGTTTACACCATGTACGAATAGAAGAGCAATTAAAATACTGCATGCAGACTGGCCTGCTAAATTTTCTACAAATAAAAATAACAAGAAATTAAAATAAATAAGTAATTTAAAATATCAAAGAAAATTGCATTTTAGCATACCTGTTAAGAGTCAACCTTGACAGATTTTCTTTAGTAGCAAATAAAACTAAAAGAAAAAAGCATAAAATATGAATAATTTTACTTAAATAATAACTTAAATCTGCTGATGTGTTGTATATTTTGAAATAAGGATAGCATTAACAATATATTTTAGGAAATAAACATTAAATGTATTTTTAAAAAATAATCTCAGTCATATAAATAATGTGTATTTAACAATCTGGATTGCATTCAACACAAATTACAATACAAGAAAACTCATTTATAAATTTCTTTACATATCCTCACCCGGATCATGATCGTGAGATTAAATGAATTTTTTGCTGCAGGTGTAGCTCTTACAAGCATTAAAAAGCTCAAACTACTTTATAATTTTCACAACAAAACCAGTCTAACTAATAATGCATTCTACTTTGAGACACAGCTTGCAGTAAAACCTGGCATAAACACTGAAGTATTTAAGTTTATCCCTCGAAGTATTACTCTTCGCAAATTTGGAAAACAATAAAATGACACAAATAAATTACATTGTGAAAAGAAATTATACACACATTTCTTTAACAAAATTAAGGACTTTTAGTTAGGAAAAAAGGATCTGTTAGCAGACAAGAATGGAATAAATTAAAAACATTACTAATGAACTTGATTTCACTATTATAGTACCATTCTAAGCATAAAACAGAACTGTAAATAGAATGCAAGTATTTTACTTTTATGCTCATGCCCAGGTACTTTGGTGGATATTTTTGACTGCAAACAATTTCTAGTTATAAGAATAATTTATAGATGGGGAAAAACACGCATGCATACCACATGACATGTTCTGGTAAAAAGATCACCACCTTTCATACTTGCATAGAAAAAATCGGTAGCTCTCTAACAGAAAAGTATAATGATGCATTATTATTAATTTGAGAACCTTAAATGTTATCAAGTAATTAACAAATTTATTTTAAACTATTAAAGAAAATAAATTTTATACTTTCTGATCTAATTTCTCCCGATACAAGCTCACCAAAAAGTTAAAAAGAATACACAGCATAAATTTAAAGTCCAAAAGAAAATACTGCATGTATTTAAAATGTACATATGAATCTGCTATATCTTTAAGCTATGTCAGCATTAAGAAAAACTCTAGAAAAGAAGAGGTGGTGATAAGACCCTTTATTTTGGCTCCAACAACAAGTTTTTGTAAATACAATGAACGATTATTATAAAAATAAATAAATAAATAAAAATAAAATAAATTTAAAAAAAAAACTTTTACTTCCATTTTCAACATTTGAAGATATTGCATTTTACACAGTTTACATTCTGATCTTCGATAAAGGCTGCTGATATAAGAATAATAATTTTATGTGGTTTTAGCTGGTGTTTTATATCAAGCACAAATGAGTACTGAAAGATTTTTAAATATGCAAGGTGAGAACATAAAATCTTTGACATAAACAATAATCAAAATGAACTTATACAAAATTGCGTTAGGATAACATACAAGGAAAGTTTTATATAACTGAAAGCAATTTAATATTTTATCTTCTCTGTATTTACTTGGTTGCTGACTGTTATTTGCTGATCAGAACAACTGTGTTTTGTTTTAGTTTTTTTTTTGTTTAAACATAAATATCGTATTATGAATTGATTAAGTATTATACTTGCCATTGCTGCGAAGTTCTGAAATCTTTAGATGATTTTAAATACTAATAAAATATGGGATTATTATACTTAAATCTTAAAAAATCCAATTTGATGTTAAACAGCAAAGTTTGTGGTAAATATTATTTGGAAGGTTATAAATGCCATAATAGATATACTTTGGGCTCTATCGAGTTGAGAAATCATGAGAATTTTTCGGAAGAATCAGGACCATATGATCATATAATTCCCATGAGTGTAATGCTTCTGCAGAAATAAGAGAAAAAACTATTACATTTCTGCAAAAATACTGCGATTACTGTTAATTGTACTGCTGGCACTTATAAGTGATCCATTGCACGCAAGAGTCAAAACAAGATTATACCATTAGAAGCTCGTTTTAAGTTTTTTTATAGGCAATGGATTTATTATATACTAAAGAGTTCACTGCTGTTAAAATCATTTAGATCAGGGGTTCTTAATACCTTTCACCCTATGTACGCCTTCCACCACTGCTATAAGAATAATAAGTTCACTCCCTCCTCCTTTCCAAAACTTAAAAATTACATATTCATCTATTCAGATTTAGATTATTTTTAATGTGCTTTATTTATTAAACAATAAAAAGTATAGAAATGTTGATAAATACTAAACTTGAATAGAATTAAATTTATATATATGCGGGGGTTGAGTGTCCAAATGAAAATGTATGAAACAATACTATGATTATATTTAAGTCTTTATTCACAAGTAATCACCAGAGCCCTGAACTCCTTCAGCTCATGAAACAGTGGGATAGTTATTATCCCACTGTTGTAGCTCTTTCTCTCGCAGTTAGATTTGGTTTCAAAGGTTTATTATTGAATTTCACATTATGAGCGATAAGCTTATCGCTCATAATGTGAAATTCAATAATAAACCTTTGAAACCAAATCTAACTGTGAGAGAAAGAGCTACAATGCATGAAATTCATTCTAACCCGGATATTATCATTTCAAAGGCCGACAAAGGTGGCCAGATAGTCGTCATGGATAAGAACACTTACATTGATGGTGTCACTAAACTCTTAAACGAAGAACCATATAATCCGATCCCTAAAGATCCTCACCTTCGGACTTGTCCAAAATAAAAACTGCGATCAAATCTTCGCAAATCATTTCAAGCAACTTAAAACATTCGCTTATCCCATCTGTTGCGAATTGTGCCAGATTATATGCTCTTCCCAAAATTCATAAAAGTGGTATTACTTTCCGCCCTATTGTATCAAATTTAGGTACTACCTCAAGTCCATTAGCTAAATATTTAGTTTCTAGATTTTCCACTCTATTAGACAATAACATTTACACCATAAAAAATTCAATAGAGTTTGTAAAAAAGGTTAAAAACATTTCTCCTAGTAATTTACTCATGGTTTCTTTTGATGTAAAATCATTATTCACCAATGTCCCAGTGGAGGGTGCATTAAGATGTCTAGAAACCAGACTTCGCGAATTTCATTTCTCTTGCATCGAAATTGATGAGCTAATTTCTCTTACTCAACTCTGTTTGAAACAAACACATTTTGTTTTCCAAAATAAATATTACAAGCAAACTGAGGGATTAGCCATGGGAAGCCCCATGGCTAATCCATCAATTAGCTATAAAGTTGCACATATTTTGCAGAAATTTAACTTTCGGGTTGTTTATTCTCCCATCAATAAAATTCCGAGTTCCATACTCAAGGACCCCATTCCGGATATGAATTCCTGGGGTATTTATAGGATTCCTTGCCAGTGTGGTTTAATTTACATTGGCCAAACTGGAGAGCCTTTAAATTTCGCGTCAAGGAACATGAGGCACATGTTAGAAAAAAGGAAACACAGAAAGTCTTCTGTTGCTCAACTTTGTTGGTCCGAAAACCCCCCTTTCAGTTTTTCTGCTGCCAAAAATTATTCAAAAACATCTTCCATTGGAGAACTGGATTTTCTAGAGGCATTTCACATTCATAAAAATCTTTCTGTTCTAGTTAACGATCCTAATTCCAATCCAAATTTGCCTTCGGCCTTTAAAGAAATTATGTTTTAGTTCTGGTTTCACCAACAGATGGCGCCACTTGCTTATTCTTGTCCAGGCTTTCTTTTCTTATCTAATCATTATTTCCTATCTGGTTCATTTGCGGTTTTGCAGCTGAAGATGGTGGTTCGGTAAAACCATCGAAACTAGTCCTGTGAAAATTTTGTAAATATAACGCTGATTTTTGTTGTTTGACTTCTGAATTAGTATGCTGATAAATGATGATTACTGGTGACTAAACAGAACTTGCATTGAGCATTTTAATATGCTAAACTTTCTAAAAAGCCGGCTAGAAGTTCTACGAGCAGAAGTGCTAGAATTAGATTATCAGTCTTAACAAAATTTCGAACTGAGCTCTCTTATTACACTTTATGTTATTCAAAGATGTAATAAAAGATGCATTTATTCTAATCAAAAATCTTTAATAGAGGAGTTCGTGCCGCTGCATCTTGGCTTGAATCATATAAAGAGAGAATTTTGTTCAAAATCATATAAGAGGTTGGTTAGAGTTGACTTTAGGGTACCCCGTGTATTATAGCGAAATTGCTGCTTCATTTATCATCAAATTGTTGTTTCATTTCTCACCAAGTTGTTGTCTCATTTATGACAACCTGAGCAGTTGAATGCTATGGAAACCCTATTATGATGTAATTGGTTATGGTGAATTTGAATCATGGGAAAAAATTTGGAAGTGTGTGTCGGATTTGTGTGTGATGGATTAGTACGTTGTTATTTTGTGGTTTACACAGTAAATTGGCTTAGTGTGGTAAGATTAATTTGAAGTTTCTGTAGGATTTGGAACGAAAGGGAAAAAAGCATTAATTGACTGGTGTGTACATGAATGTTTACTTAGTAGCCATTATTAAGTGTCCTGTTTGAAGAAAGCAAATGCGTATGGTCGAACATCGGATATTTTCGACTCTTATTTTTGTGAATTTATGTGGCGAGAGCAGTGTACAGATTCTAGTTCAGATAATTTTAAGAAGCATTTGGATGCTGTTAAGGAATTTTGTTTGATTGAAGACGCGTAAATTCGTAAATAAGGTAGGTGGATATTTCCTTCATTTAGTGCTAAGATAAATTTGCTTTTTTATGTTATTTCATTGTTTGATTTAAAATGTAGTTTATTCAGATTATATATTTTTTGTTGGCTGCTCCTTTGACCTTTTTAAGTGAATATAGTTCTATGTGTACATGGACAAAGTCAAGGGAGTATGCAAAACCTAGTTTGTGCAATTCTCTGATGTTTTTTTAAGTGAAAATAGGCCGATGTGTATATAGATAAAGTCAAGAGAGTGTGCAATGCCATTTTTGTGCAATTCTGGGATGTTTTTTTAAGTGAAAATAGGTTGATGTGTA